GGGGTTGGATGGAGGGGGGCAAAAAGGGGGAAAATGGGAGACATCTGTAATACTGCCAATAATTAAAAAAAAGAAATGAAAAAAATGAACTGTTGATACATACTCTAAAATGGATGAGTATCTAAATAATTATGCTGAGTTTTAAAAGTCGAGCCAAAAAAAAAAAAAGAGTATATGCTGCATGATTCCATTTATACAAAATGCAAATTAATCTATAGTGACAGAAACAGGTCACCTGGAGACTGGGAGTTGAACGGGGAAAGCGACGGCTGTGCTCAATATCTTGATTGTGGTAATGGTTTCACAGGCACATGCATACATCAAAACCAATCAAAAGGCACACTTTAATATGCGCCATTTACTGTATACCTATCATCTGTCAGTAAAGCTGTGAGAAAAAAAATAAATAAAATAAAAAAATAATATATCACGACCAAGATGGGTTTATCTCAAGAATGCAAGGTTGACTTAATATTTGAAAATCAATTCATGTACCTCATCTGAGTCACATAATGAAGAAGAAAACTGTGCCTTGGTCTCAACAGAAGCAGAAAACAGAAACGATTAATCTTCAGAGAACTAGCGCAAGAAAACATGCTACAGTATAAAGTGATGAGCTTCCAGGTTAAAAGGCCCCACTGAGTATGAGGCAGAATGAATGAATGAAGAAAAAATGTTTAACTCACTATAAGGTGCATTACTGTAAGATTTCAGATGAGAAAGGAAAGGAAAAACATCCTAAAAGCTTCTGGAGGGAACCAAAAAGAGTCACATATAAAAGACAGGGACTCTAAGTAGACTTGGGGCTTCTCACAGCAACTGAAAGCTGTGGTCAAACTCTCCACCAACAGATGACAGAAGAGTGAAGACATTCTTATATATTCTAAAACGCATATTCTTCTGTACTCTTTCTCAAGAATACACTGATTTCCCCCCCCACCAAAACAAAGAGATAAAAATATGTCAGGCAGAGGGCTGGAGAGAGAGGTGAGAAGAATCCCCAGAATGAAGGTGAGGGGATTCCGAGGTCAGTTCAAAGGGCTTCTGCTGTAAGGACTGCAGTGACGGAGGGGGAAAGAAAACAGCCTCCGTCCATCCACTTTGGCTGCTTGTCCCTTCCCACGAGGTTACATGGAAGAAATTCTACAAGCAGCGAAGCTCAAGGTCAGCCTTCTCAGGGTCATTCAATTTGCCCTGAAATATTAACCCTCTTGAGGGAAATCTTCCAATGAGGATAAATTGAAGTCCTTCTGAAGGGCAGGCTATCATATATATATATAATCTCCTTTGGCTTAATTCTCAACATGACTTGGGAAGGTGGCAAGGGAGATAGAGCAAAATCTGCCTTTTGCGCCAAGATGGACCTCATCTGATTTCAGTAACTAGATTTGTTCCATTCTTACCGATCTCCTTTGCATTTTGAGGACGTACTAAACACCGCATCTATAAGCCTTGCGGGAGAAAACAAGCAGGTGGGAATACAAAACAGGGACTGGGACACACCCTCCAAGGTCTGTTCTGAGTAGTCTTGCAGCCAATCTCTTAGTCTCAAAGTCACCACCGTACCTGCCCCAGGCAATGAAGCCTTGAGGTTTTGAATATTTAGGATTGCTAATTATTGGAAGAGTTAGGAAGGATACGCAACCACCTTTTCAAAAAAAATCAGTCAACTGATCATCTACTATGCTATTTTGGGTGATGATCTGCAGAAATATTGCCCAGCAAGGGAAACCTATCTCTAGCTCTTTTACTTGAACTCAATTCTAGACAACTTAGGAATATCAGATCCATCCCCCACACACACATTGGACAGTCCTTCCTGATAAGAAATTGTCAAATTTCCTTTACAGCTGAAGCTAGAAAACCAAGCAAGGCAAAAACTGGCTTTTAGCCATTAAATGAGTGTACTTTTTTATATGTAGAATCAGCCAGGAGGGCCAGTTTGGATATGCCGAAAGGTCACTCCCCCAAGCCCATGCACATCAACTCAAAATAAGTATTCTCTTTATTTACTCAGAAGCCCTTATGCTACTTTCTTCTTTGGCATCAGTAACCACAGGGTGTGAGTCAGGTCCGGCCACGTAAATGTCTCTTTGGTCACCTTCCGTAACGAATTCCTCCCCATTAGGAGGCCACTTTACTAATATCCGGGCCCCAGCTCTGGCCATTAGCCAGGCCCTGAGCTGGCCACACACCCATCAGCACTTGTGCTCAGCAGTGTTTTGATGGGACTGAACTGTTCATTTTAATGATTGTTACTTGAACACACCAAGTGGTAGCCACTCTCCTCCCCCTACTTCAAACCACCTAATTTTCCAGGGGGTGGTACACAGACCAGCCACGGAAGTATCTGCATATACACTTTTCACAGGTAATGATTCCAGTCACCTGGATGTGCCCCCCATTTTCTTTGTCACCTCCTTCATAACATCCACCTTCCCAGGAACGGTTTTGAGCATTTAATGGGGGAGACTGTTAAGTTGCTGAATGTTTTTCGATCTGGAATCCACATCTTCTCAAGCCCTATTACGTGGGGGTGGGGGGAGCAGAGAGGTACCTCGGTGTCAGAGCTGTTGCCATTCAGAGCCTCGATGTTTGGGTCCCTCCAGTCTTCTGAGAGTGAAGGGATGTAATTGTCCGTCAGAGCATCCCAAACCCTGCAAACAAAGAGCAGCTCTCATTAGCACACATCTGGGGCCCCGCCCCGCCTGGAGGAAGGAAGAGCTGGGCCGGGGAGGAGAGAGGCTCCGTGTGTGCCAGGCTGAGATCATCTGCCTTCCAGCCCGCAGCAGCAAAGCAGCTTAGAAACTGAATTAGAGGCTCCACCGGGCGAGGAAGAGCCAAGAGAATGGACCCTGGCCAGGAGCGTCCCAGGGAAAGGTGTTGGCTTCAGAGGAGCCACTGAGATACAAATGATAAAGTCTACAGTCAGATCACCTCTGGCAATAAAATAAAAAAAAATTGCCCTTGAAAATAAATTGGCCCCTCAACAAAATAGTTCATGTCTCATAAAACTAAGAAATGCCCCTTTCCTATGGGCAGAAAAGACAAGAGAGAGAGAGGGGGAGTCACAGAGACAGAGACACAGAGAAAGAGACAGAGAGATAGATACAGATAGAGATCTGGGCAGATTTTCTGGCTGGGTCTCATTAAGAACAGGGTCACCATCTGGTGCCAGTGCTGTTAATGCTTACTTACTACCCAAAACGTTTAGCGAGCCCACGGGTGACACAATCCTGCCCTTAACAATGAAGAGTCTAAGGGTGCCCCGTCTCCATCATGGACCCTCCAAAGCAAATGTATGAAAGGAACCAATAAATACCCCTCTGCCTACACAATGGCTTTTCAGTGGGAGAAGATGGGGCTCCCTTTACTATGTTCCTTTTTAAAATTCTGATAGTACATTCTGAGAAAGGGCTTTCTACAATTCTTGTTGCTTAACTCATTTCAGAAAGATTTGTTTGGGGGGAAAAAGGGGAGTGGGGGGAAATCCTGAAGTCACAAACTCTCACACAGAGGAAAATAAATACGTTAGTCAGTACCCAGAGGTTAAAGTAAATCAGTAAACCAAACTCCTAAAATAATGCCATCCCTGGAAGCCAGCAGCACTGGAGTTAATATTAGATAAACCAGGACTCTATACAGTTTCCTTCCGATACTTATGCATGTCAAGCAAGAGTGACACCTATGAAACCAAGGTGTAAAAGATACTAATATAAGGAAATAGCCATTTAAAAATAAGCAAATATGTATACATGTGGATCAAATTCAAAACATGACAAAATGTGGATTAAGATGCTGAAACAATAAGTGCAAATTATATATGGGGAGGGGGGAGCACCAGCAAAACAGAGCACAGATACTTGAAATGAAAATCAAATACATAAAATGAGGCAGGAAAGTGCTCTTAACACATATAAAATCAGGAATAATATATGATATATGGATATATAAGCAGAGATTTTCTTTTTTTAAAATCCTCACCAGAGCATATGTTTTTCTTGATTTGAGAGAGAGAAGAAGGGAGAGAGAGAGACATTGATGTGAGAGAGAAATGTCAATAGGTTGCCTCCTGTACTCGACCCAACCGGGGATAGAACCCACAACCTAGGTGTGTGCCCTGACCGGGAATGGAACCCACAACTTTTTGGTGCACGAGACAACACTCCAACCAACTGAGCCACACTGGCCAGGCGCAAAGAGATTTTCCTAGCGCATGATGCCTACAATTTAAATTGTCAATGAAACCGAGTGAACTCCAGAAAACACAATTTCATGGCAGTGCTTGGGTTATCCGCTCATTCATTATTTTCCTACAATTACAGGAAAGCACTTTGCGAGAGCTCATCAGGCGTTCATTAGACATCTACTCAGCAGGATTTCAGACTCTCCTTAACCACGGCTGATAATCCAATCTCCATCGGGCACTGTATTAGAGCTTCACTAATCCAGCCCAATTCTAAATCCAAGTCTCATTAGCATTCTAAAGCCAAGAGGCAAAGAGGATTTGCTCTGAGCGAGACAAAACTCCCAGCACCACACCCACTAGAAAGATCAGCAGACAACGCCTACTTGTTTCCAGTCCCCACGTCGCCTTCTCTGCCGCGAGAACCAACAGCACTGCACGCAGGCGCTGACCTTCAGATTTGTCCCTGCAGCAAGTACCTAGAAAATGAAATTCAGCAAAGCCCAAAATAGGCAAGAGCTTTTCATACCTCTCTCCCAGGCAGGATGGAAGCTGGGAGCTTCAACAGGCTACACACCTTCCAATGACCTTGAAACTGTCTGCGTCCTCAAAGAGACCACTGGGAACTGTCACAAACCTTTTAGGGAGTAGCAGCTTTTCTCATCTTAGCCTTTAATACCATACTCTGGGTTTTATGTTCTAATTCTAGATTTTNATCCTCAAAGAGACCACTGGGAACTCCCGCAAATCTTTTAGGGAGTAGCAGCTTTTCTCATCTTAGCCTTTAATACCATACTCTGGGTTTTATGTTCTAATTCTAGATTTTAGTGACCATTTCCTAAACCTTTATCTCTTCAGAATTCAAGCCACTCTCCTTCTCTTTCAGGTTTTGGCCAGGCTTTCTTCTGCCTTTCAAGGCACTTCTTACCCTTGGAGGCTCAAAGCAGCCTTACGATAGAATGACTCTCATCTCTGTAATCACTTGGGTGACCTTCCTATATTTATTCAGTGCCCATTTAACGCTAATAACCATTAGCAGCCAACACTTAGCTAACAAGCATTTACCATAAGCCACGTACTATTCTAAACTCTTTACGTGGATTAATTCATTCCCTCCTCCCAACAACATTAAGACAGACACTGACGAGGGAAAACTGGAACCCAGAGGAGTTCATTTAACTTGTCTAGGTTCACACAGCCAGTAATGACAGAGCTGGGATTTGAACACAGGCGACAGAGCTACAGAGCCTATATTCCTAACCACTTAACTCTTCCAACCCTTGGTGGATTTTATGATGGGCGTGGGCATCAGAATATTATACCAAGTTCCAAATCACACCCTAGGACAGCAGTTCAGAACCGGCTGTGCGGGAAAAACCTCTAACTGCACTGTTCCGGACAGTAGGCTGTCACCTGTCTAGGGAGGACGACTGGCACGGGAGCAGGGGCACACGCTGCTTTCTGTCTTCATCTCCATCCCAGGGAGGCCAAGTGGGGGAGGCAGACACGGGGAGGTGGCAGCCCCAGGACAGGAGCGGGGCGGGAGGGAGCCCAGGCTCTCTGCGAGGGAGAGGGAAGGAAGGGCTCTCTCCCCAGGGAGGCTAACTACCGATGATGACGACGATGATGATGATGATGATGATGATGATGACGACAGTAAGCAGGGTCCTTGGAAACGCACACACTCCCTTTTACAGGGGCCCTGAGGTGCACCGTAAAATTCCACTTCCCCCGAGAAGCATCCGGCTATTTCATCTCGGGGAAAGGAGACTTTGAAAGCTATCTATCTTTTATCAAAGAACTAAATTAACCTTGGCCCGACGGATCAGTTGGTTAAAGCATCGTCCCCATGCGCCAAGGTCGTGGGATCGATCCCCGGTCAGGGCACGTACAGGAATCAACCAGTGAAGGCATGAACTAGAAGAACAACAAATCCGTGTGTGTGTGTCTGCAACCCCCCTCCTCTCTCTCTAGAATCAATGTTTAAAAATGAACTAAAATTAAACAGGTTGCCTCAATTTCTGGCGTGATGCCATGGCAGCCGGGATTCAATTTGTCCTCGGGCCCTACAATAACAGAAAAGGCTTTTCAGGTGCTGATCTCCTAGCTTGGGCTTAGATGCCCGCAGAATTGACTACACTGTCTTTCCCCAGAGGCGGGGGTTTGGGAAAGGACGCTGGCAGCGGATGAACAAACGGAGCAGCATGGGCGGGGTAACACCCCCCGACAACAGCTCAGGTCTGACACCGCGTGCACGTGAGCACACTTTCGCAGTTGATACTTAGGAATAATTAATTACTAGCACATTAATGAGTTTGAACAACTTTTTACATTCTTTCAAATGCTTCAATAGAATTAATACTATTTCTGTCTTCTATCTGGGGAAGCCGGACCTCTAGGAAGGAAAGGTGGCTGACTGCAGGCCATTTATTTATTGTGCAGACTTTGTTTTTAACATCACTTTTAACCCCATAATTCCACCTGTAGAACGGAAAAACTGTCATTGCTTTCACATGTTTGGCTCCTCTGTCTCCAGGGCACTTATAAGAGACCCTGAGAGGGACCCCAATGAGGCAGGAGGCGGGGTGAGAACAGTCTATTCTCATTTTGAATTGGACCCTAAGAAGCTCTGGCCTCCAGGTTCAGTCTCTTACGATAAAGGAAAGGGTGATCACACATAAGCAAAGAAGAGATTCTGAAATAGTTTCTAAATTTAAAAACAGGAGCTATATACATTCAAGTTTGACTCTTGTTTAATGTCTCCATGCCCTGAAGAATCAGAGCTAAGTTGATAGCCCAGCCAATTAATTCCCTAGTAGCCAAACAGTTCCAAATGAGAATTAAAGAAATCAAAACTTCGAAGGGAACCACTGCACTGGCTTTCTGATTTGTGCTTTCTTTAAGGAGGTTAGTTTGACCAAAAATTTCATTGTTTTTGTTTTAAAGTGTTCAATTCATTTGTAGATTAAATGTCCCTCCAAATACTAAACCTAAGCAAGTTTATTAGAACCATAGAGCTATGCTCAGGAGACTCACAATCAGGTTAGATATGAAAGTATCTCTTTCCTTCACCTCATCATATTTTACAGCTGAAATATCTGAATAGGTGCCTATAAAACAAAGTATGTAATTTAATTCTGATTTTTATTTTAAATTGTAAAGATTTAGATACACTGACTGCCTAGAAAGGACAGTGTTAATTTCTCTCTTCCCAGATTCCTCCCTCGACACTATCCCCAAATCATACTTTATCTCTAAGGAACTATTCAACCTTTGTTCTTTTAGCTGAGTCAGTCAATGAGGCAGGCAAGTCGGGAAAATCAGGATAAGACCAATAATCCCATGTGGTGGTAATTGACATTGAGTGGCCTCTGCTAATGCGCTGTGCCTTCATCTTTAATGAGGCAGAGGGGGGTTAGGTAGGGGAGAAATGATTTGTTGGAAGCAAAAGGAATTGGACACATCTTAAAATGTCATTTTCAGAGTGCAGCCTGGGTGAGGTAAGAAATTAGGTTCTTTGCAAGTCCTTAGTCCCGCTTCATCAAGATTGAGCTCTGGAGGTTTCAAAGATGAGGACCCACGCAGTCAACTAGAGTTAAGCGACTAGCCCAAGGTCACACAGCGAGTTAGTGAGAGTATGAAAATTAGAATTCATAGACTTTATATTTCTAGTTCATTGCCTGGTGCAATGGACTGGAGTGAAAAAATACTCTGTCTAATAAAGCCCCATAGTCATCCCTTTTCGACTTAAAATTGTTGAACAAATTATAACAGACTCAGTACTAAAAAGAACTAGTTTGAAACTTGAAATGGAATCAGAACACACACCCCACAGTGATAGTACTGGTCACCTCAGTGAAATGTTCTCTATGCCCAAGACTTCAGGTTAGTGTTAATGAAAAAGAGACAGAAATGGGGTAGACCTAGAAATACTTTACATATACCTACGAGGCTAGCTGTTATTGTTCATCCAATTCACTCAATAGTCAATATTTCACTCAAAAAATATTATTTGATCACTTACTACACACCAAGCACTATATTAGACAGTGGGGCTATAATAGTGAGACACAGATATGTAGCCCTGTATTCGGAGATACAATCTTAGTTAGTCACCAAATAAGCAACTATCTGCCCAATATGGTCAGGTTCAATCCTCTAGGACATGCCTCTTACCCAGCTGGTTTATGGTCAGCTCTTCCCATTCAAGTTCATAAAAAGAGAAACCAAAAGCACAGTTGCTCAAACCTTTCATTACCAACTACATGGCATTTCTTGTGTGATACCCAGTGAACAATTGGTGCATGTTTATCTCTATAGGGAATTCATTGTGTGTTTTTTTAATAAACACTCTCCTTTCACTTATATGACAAATTAGATCCCTTTTCTTAACTACTGTTCAGGCCCGAGAAGGTGGCTGGTGAATAACATGGGGAATCTGAATGCTCAGAAGCCCCTCCACCCAGTTATCACCTTTGTATCGTCCGGGGTCATTCCATGGGCTCTCTGTTCAGTTGGTACACTTTCTTACTTGGACATATGTTAACATTTCTAGACATTTTTCCAGCTGTGAGGGGTGGTAAACAATTTGGAGATGTTCACAATTCTGGTTCTAAGGACATCAATTCCTCTGTCACAGTTATTTTTTAGTTTCTGGTCCTTATTTTTGACATCTAGGCAGATTACCACTGACATAAAGAAAGCTGAAGATAGACAGACCCCCCTCCCCCCCCCAAATTTACCAGGCTCCTAAAATTCTATTTTGTATCTAGGAAGAACTTTCTATTTCCTAAAATTCCTTCATTTCTTTAAGCTTTCGATTTAAGAAAGCTCTACAGGTGACTCAAGGGACATGACAGAACAATGTCAACAACTGACACAAAAATGTAAGTAAGAAGCCATGAACTCATAGGCAGGATCTAGGTCTATGCCAAGGGGCCCAGGCTACAGGGCTCTGGGATGAGGAAGAGGAGGGCAGCTAAGGCTCCTTACTCTTCATCTTGCAGGGTCCCCTCCTCCTCCTGGATCTGCAACTGGCTCTTCACCGGGGCTAGGTTCTCCGTCTTGGCGTTGTAGTTCCGAAAGCAGACATTGAGCTTCTCGTCAAACTCGTTCACGAGGTCCTCCATGGACTTGAAGCTGATGATCTCAGAAGAGAAATTCTCCAGCTCAGACAGGGAGGGGTCCTCCAGATGGTGGGGAGACGAGCCATAAAAACACCGGGGCTTCTCCTCCCGTTCCTCCGAGCAGCAGGGCCGGAGGTCCTCGAACTCTTCATCCAGACTCACCAGTGGGGCCTCCATTCTTACACGGCTGCACCTTTCGGGGTTCGTCTATCTGGAAGAAACAGACGAGCTAATGTGAGTTTGGACTGGGCTTCTGGGCCTGCTCTGCTGCAGAACCGTAATCATATCCCCACGCTCTGTGTCTCTCTAAAAACAGAGTCCACTTTCCTGGCGTCCATCGCTCCTGCACTTGCTCATGATTAGGGACTTAAGGAGTTCAAATCTCACTGTCTGTACGAATAGTACTAACCCAACAGAGTGCACTTGAGAGACATACCTGCTTCCAGTTCCCTGCTCTGAGACTCAAAGCATAGCAGCTCAGTGCCAGCCCCTAGACCACACTGCCCAGGCTCGCACCGTCCTGCCCCTTGCCAGCTTCGCCCTTAGCAAGTTTCTTGCCTTCTCTGTGCTTCCTTTTATTCTTCTCAAGACAGAAACAGGAACAGGACCTACCTCCAAGGGTTGTCATAGGAGTAAACACAAGGAAGAGCTTAGAGCAGCGGCTGGCGGACCATAAATGTCAATACTGTTCGATGCATGTCCACATCCTAAGCCATGTGCTCTGAGCACCGGGAGTTCTTCATAACTTATTGGATGGCAAAACCTGACCTGAGCTAGCTCATCTGACAACTAAACCTCATCTACAGGATATAAAAGCTGCTTACGGTTTTAAGTTATCCCACTTAGTGTGTTTTGCTGCAGAAATATTAATTTTTAAAATTATAGATTGTTGCCCCGGCCCCCAAGGGATGCTATGCAGAATGTGCACTCTATTACTGCCTTCCCAAATTTGAGATAATCTAAATTCTGAAACATGCCTGGCCCCAAGGATTTTGGATAGGAAGTCATGGACCTGGATATTACTACCTTCATCGATAAATAACAGACTAATGGAACACTAAGAGAGACTTTCAACAAGCGCTTGAGTTTTTCCCAGACACAGAGCATATGTCTGGGGCTAGAGGAACAGAATAAATGATCTATTACCCTGTAAAAGACAGACCAGACTACCACTGTGTAGTTCCACATTGTTCCAGAGCCAAGAGTCCAAAACCATCATCTTGGACACTGAATCCCAGAAGGATGCAGGCTCTGGCCCCCCTTCCTTTCCCAACAGCTCCAGGCCTTCTTCACACATGGCCTTCAACTGTGACTTATCCATCCGTGTTTACCTCCAAGCCCTTCCCAAATTTGAATCTAAATTCCTTGAAGGCACAGACGTCCTCTGAATATCCACCCGGGCTCCTAGAACACACTGCCCTGTGGCTAGGCAATCAATCAATGTGTGCTCATTGAAAAATGATCTTCTCACCCCACATACAGTTTCTCATTCTCAGTTTCAGGAAGCACACACACCAGTGTCCATCACACCCTTCTCGACACACAAAACTTCCTTCCTTGTAGCATAGAAAGGCAACCCAACTTTTCTCTCCTGTCTCTGTGATTTCTGATCCAGTCAGACGTTTAAATTGGAGCCACTGTTTGAGGAGAACCAAAGAGGCATCAAAAACTACAGGTTTTGCCCTAGGGCTGCCATTCTCCATCTCTGTCTACAAAGCTAAAACTGTTAAATAAGCGAAGAACAGGGCGTGCCAGGCCAGGACATGGACAGTTCTTCCTGGGATTTTACAGGCGTTGTCAGCTAGCACAGCATCACATCAAAACATATTCTGAGTATTTACAGCTTACAAGGGCAACATGATAGGACCTTAGAATACAAAAAGAAAAGCAGTATGTTATCCTGGAAAGAACACAGGCTTAAGAAACAACAGACCTGCCAATGTTTGGGTCAATGACAACCATTGTGGGTCCTGATTACCTCATTTGCTACAATGAAGATGTTGGTATAGAGAGCTAATACCTTTGGAAGTTAATTTTAATAACATATTAACTTAATAATTTAATTATAATATTTTAATAACATTTTATTTAACCCAGTATATCCAAAAATATCACCATTTCACATTGCAATCCATATTTTAAAATATTAATGACACATTTTACATTCTTTTTTCATACTAAGTCTTTGACATCGAGGGTATACTTTATATTCATAGTAATTCCCCATTTGGATGAGCCACATTTCCAGCACCCTAAAGCCACATGTGGCTAGTGGCTACCATATTGGACAACACAGCTATAAAGCAATACACAACTAACTGTCAGTCAGGGATTCTTCATCTAGTGTTGACAGATCCAAGGGCTCACTGAATATAGCTATACTTTATTTGATGCATTTACAAACATATCCGGAGAAGGAAGCCATAGATTTCTCTACATTGCCAAAGGGGCCCATAGCACGCAAAAGACTAGGAATCCCTTAGTGCCAAAGTGAGTTTAGAAAAGATCACAGAGTGCAACAGAGAGTAGGGGAGGTTTTCACTGATTCGGGGTTTGTGTCGGTGGAGGCAGGACTCCGTGATGGTGAGGAGCCTGGACTCCAGGTTCCCATCCTGGTCCTTTCACTTCCTAGCTCTGAAAATTTAGGCAAATCATCAGCCTCTTTGTGCCTCCATTTCCTCGTCTATAAATGAGATTTAGAATAGTACTAAAGCTGAAGGTTACTTTGTGGAGTAAATGAGAGCATCTTTGAAATCCAAGCACAAAGCATGAAATACGTAGTGTCCAATTAATGTCAATGACTTTAGGAAAATGAGAATAATTTAGTTACATGGAAGTGTGGAGTGAGAGTGCTCCAAGTGAAAGAAAAACAATCCTTGCTAGGACATTCTATGCTTCCAAATGTCTATCAAATGAGAGAACTATTGCTGAATGAATTTTATCACCGTTTTGGCTAAGACGCCGTATTTTCAATTCATTTTGTGAAAGCCTTTTAAATCCTGGGTCCCACTGCAGAGAGACAAGAAAGTTAGCCAGCAGCTGTTCCAGAAATTTGCATTTCCTTTAAATGTGCATGCTTCTCTAGGAAAGAAGGGGCATTGGGAGGAGTAGGTGACACCAAGGGGGTGCTGATTTGAAAGGGCACAATCTATACTAATTAACCAGCAACAAGAGGGCAATCTAGGACTAAGACTGAGTTTTGAGTGTTGGCAACAGGAAGATTGTGCTGAAAGCACTTATCCTCAGCCCTGGCAGGCTCTAGAGAAATGGATTCATCCAGAAGATTGCAAAAGAAGAAATGGCTATCACAGTCCTAGAGTTCAGAAACACGATCATAATCCATAATACAGCCTGATTTCTTTTAATCAATTCACTACCTGAGAGCCAAGAAGCTCTGCATGAATGGCCAGCTGGAGATGATGCTAAAACTGAAAGCCTGTGCTGGGAATCAGAAGTCACTCAACACCCAAACTGAGCCCAGCACTTGTAGAAAGACCCCAGGCTGCAGCAGAGGAGACGAGAACCAGGCATTTGACTGGCCCAACCATGGTCTTGAGGAGGGGTCTCTGGGTTGGGGCTGGCAGCCCTTCTGACATGGCGCCCCCTTCTCTCCTTCCTTTAGCTCACCTTGTTTTGCTCTTCTCTCTTGGTAGGGTGCCTTTGCCCCCCAAAGGAAATGTCCTACTCCTGCGTCCTGGCAAGCCTACCCTGGTCTTCATTCGCAGCTCACCTCGGAGGCTTCCTCCCCTTGAAAGCTAGGGTTAATATAATTCATTGCTTATCCCCCTTCTCGGTGCTTCCAAAATAAATTTTGTAAAAAAAAAAAATACATGAAGAATGGCAGAAAGAAGGAACCATAGAAGGGTTGTCATATCTTTTTCTCTTTGTCATAGAACAGAATACAGGACTATCGGTTGATTATGTCCTATAATCTATTCCACTTATTTTGGCTCCCAATAGGTAGTGTAATTTGGAAAAGAAAAGGCATCTGAGAGCTTAACAGAGGCCCAGGAGGAAACACATAAGCCTCTCGTGCAGTATAAAGCAGCAGTAGCCGCAGCTGGGGGCCGCAGCACACGTTTCCAGTCCCTGCTTTGCTGAGCTGAGCGGCGTGGAGCAGGGCAGCCGAGAACGCACGGAGCCTGCACCCAGGCCCCTGCCATCTCCCCCTCCTCACCGTTACCTGCCCCAAAGATCCATAGCTTCTGTGTGCCGCCCCTCCCCCCATCCCTAGAACCCGCTTTCCGCGATGCACCTTCAGCTTCCCTGCTGCTACCCAGCAAGACCCAGCGGTGCGCACGGCTGTGCCAGCTTCCCGTTCCCACGCAGAGTGTTTCATTGCCTATCAGCAGCAGCCCCTCTGCGGTTCTGCTTCCCCGCTTCCCCCCTCCTGCAGCTCCATTCACCCTCATCTCACACTCCCCCTACCCCCGCCCCCGGGCTGTCGGGGTAAATAACGGCTCCTCCGAGCAACACAATGGCTGGCGCTCCAAGCACGCTGGGCTCGTCCCGCAGGCCGCGCACAGGCTCCGCTGGCCCCTGGACCAAACCAGACCGGGACGCAGGAGTTCCCGGAGGGGGCTGGGGGTGCCGATCGTCCAGGAGAGAAGGGGCAGGCACGGGAGCATGGAGGGCTGGGGTCGCTGCCCCCACCCGGGCGCCAGAGGCCCGGAGCCCACAGGGGGCGGCGCGCCCCCCCCGCGCTGGTCCTTCCCCCGACCTGTTCCGCCGCCCAACCGTCGCTCCCCGGCGTCTGCGGCAGCGGCCAGGGTGCTGACCCTGCAGGAATGCCCGGTCCCGGGGAAGGCCTGGCACCCCGGGGAGGGCACGGCGAGGGGCGGCGCAGGTGATTAGGGGAGAGACGACTCTGGGGCTTTAAGGTGACAGACCGGACGGATAACGGTCTGGAGACGAGGCCCCCGCCCACGGCTCCAGCCCCACGGGGCAGCGCCCCTGCCTCCCCGCCCCGGACCGCGTGCTCGGCACACGCGCGCGCACACTGGAACTCACATACTCACACACACACACGCACCCCGCACGGGCGCGCTCACACGTACACACGCTGTCACACTCACACGCACGCACACTGTCACACTCACACTCACTCACACACACACACACCCCAGGCCCGGCGGGGGGCCCGCGCTCAGACGCTGCCCGCGGCGCCCCTCGTCCCACTTCCCCGGCCTGGCGCGGCGTCCCCGCT